AGGGGAGGGTGAGGAGGAAGAGGAATAGGGGAAAGGGAGGGGAAGGGAGGGGAAGGGAGGGGAAGGGAGGGGAAGGGAAGGGGAATTGGGAAGGGGAGGGCGAGGGGGATAGGGCTATCCCATAGACCCCACCTGTCCCATCCCAAACCACCATAGGGGTTCCAGCTACCCCACAGACCCCAGGAATCCCACCCAAAAAACACCAGAAGGGTCTCAGTTACCCCACAGACCCCCACCTGTCCCACCCGAAACCACCATAGGGGTCTCAGCTACCCCACAGACCCCACCTGTCCCATCCCAAACCACCATAGGGGTCCCAGTTACCCCACAGACCCCAGATATCCCACCCCAAACCACCATAAGGGTCTCAGTTACCCCACAAACCCACCTGTCCCACCCCAAACCACCATAGGGGTCCCAGCTACCCCAGATATCCCACCCCAAACCACCACAGGGGTCTCAGCTACCCCAGATATCCCACCCCAAACCACCATAGGGGTCTCAGTTACTCCAGATATCCCACCCCAAACCACCATAGGGGTCTCAGCTACCCCACAGACCCCACCTGTCCCATCCCAAACCACCATAGGGGTCTCAGTTACCCCAGATATCCCAACCCAAACCACCATAGGGGTCCCAGCTACCCCACAAACCCCAGGAATCCCACCCCAAACCACCATTTCCCCAGACCCCCTTTCCCACCCTGGCCACACGGATGATGTCTGGGACGTGCAGGTAGGCTTGGACGGGGGGCAGCCCCCTCCCCACCAGGTAAGCTTCATCTGCTTTCTGACGATGCATCTGCCCAGTGTCCTGCTCTGAATAAACGGCCACCGTGCGCAGCCCCAGCTCCGTGCAGGCACGGAAAACACGGATGGCGATCTCACCTGGGGATATTTGGGGGCAACGTGGGGATGCAGGATATCCCAGGTGGGGTGGGGAGGTGTGAAACAGCCCCAGGGAGGGGGGGGGGTATCCCCGGCATAGGATGGGGATGGGGGAATGTGGAGATGGGGACAGCTCTGGGATGGGACAGGGAGATGGGGATGGAACTGGGACGTCCCATATGGGGACATTCTGGGTCACCCTGCATGGGACAGGGAGATGGGGATGGAACTGGGATGTCCTGCCTGGGACAGACATGGGGATGGTCCTGGGACATCCCATATGGGGACAGTTCTGGATTGCCCTGATTGGGACAGGGAGATGGGGATGGAACTGGGACGTCCCATATGGGGAAAGCTCTGGGTCACCATGCTTGGGACAGGGAGATGGGGATGGAACTGGGATGTCCCATATGGGGAAAGCTCTGGGTCACCATGCTTGGGACAGGGAGATGGGGATGGAACTGGGACATCCCATATGGGGACGGCTCTGGGTCACCCTGCATGGGACACGGAGATAGGGACAGAACTGAGACATCCCATATGGGATGGGGATGTGGGAACAAGGAGATGGGGACAGCTCTGGGATGGGACAGGGAGATGGGGATGGAACTGGGACGTCCCATATGGGGAC